CGTTGGAAGCACTGTCTGACGCGTCTGCCTCCGCAACCCGAAAGGAGAAGCGGCGATGGAAGATGAAGATAAATTGGAAATAATTTTTATCCAATTTGCCAATTCACCAATGCAACATCAGAATACTTAAAAAAGTAGATCATGAGCAATAACTATGAGCTATGTGGGCTAGTGGCTGATAGTATGACAGCCATTATACGAGGCTGGCCGTAGTAATTCAACCTCAGGCTGAAGTATTTCCAGAAAACAATGAGAAGACGATAATAGCTTGAACGGGGGTAGCGAGCACTATTTCTGGGACTATCTTAGAAAAGAAGTTAACCTGCAAAATTTCAAGAAGTTGTAACAATACGGACCAGAGATAAGCACTCCTAATCATTTACTACTTTACTACACGCATTCGACAAATATACACTGCGAAATTCGACTTAATTCAAAAAACAAACAAACTACTTCTCAGTACCTTTTTGAACAACCGCTGGGATACCTTGTCGGAAACAACCTGTGTGCTTTGCATTAATTTCGACCGCCGCAGAATCTCGGCATTTTCGTACAGAAACGGATAAGATTTCGAGCATAAAAACTGAACTTTGCCAATATCGAAGCCATCTTCGCCATACTGGAACTATAATGAAATGCAAAGGTGAAGCTTTGATAAACAAACAACAGCACAATTCCGAGAAGGTCAAAGAGTGGTTAAGGCTAATGGTTAGCTTGAAGTCAAAACGGTGCAAGTTTCAAAGAAAAATACTATAAAGAAAGCCGGGATGAGAAAGGAGGAAGGTTGAAGACCATGTTGAAGTCCCGTTAAAACATAGCGATCTGTCCTTCATCATCGAATATTATATTGGCTGGTCATAAGGGACCCGTGGGATGTTGGTGGACTAAGGAAGGCTGTGAAAAGTCCGGGATCAAAACCTGCTTATCGCATTCTGGCGGGCAGGAGTATATCAGAAAGACAACCTATACAGAAGATCGCCAAAACGACGACGAACATAAAAATCAGCAACGGTGTCACTGCCCGCTCCGAAAGTAGGAGGCTGATAGCGCGAAGTCATTATGGCACGTCAGAAAAGGTTCCACCAGAACGACACTGCCAGTAGGAGCTTAAAGGCACAAATTGGAATATAATTTGTCTCACCGGGAAAAAGCAGGATCTAGTTGATGAACCTGAAAGGTACCACCTCGATATAATTAGACCCTCATCAACGAAACGCCAACGCTCTCTAATCCTGAACCTCTGCGGGTAGAAGCTATTCTACTCAGGTGTCATCGTTATGGCCGGGAGTCAGGCCGGAGCTGGTGTTCTGGTAGAACCAAAAGGGCGGATAAAATCGCTGAATGGAAACCTGTCAGAGGAACAGTGGCAATCATTCGACTGCAGCTGCAACAGGCTAAAGGTTGATGTTGTTAACGTTTTAGGTCAGTGCATCGAAATTAGGGGGAGAATATGATTCCTTCCGTAAAGAAGAAGAGGGTTTCATACACGAGGTGCCGAATACGGAGTCCCTCATACTCATGGGCGATTTTAGTGCGCACGTCTGAGTAGGCGCTAAAAAGTGGAACGGCGTGATTGGAAAAAACGGCCTTATTGCCTTATTCAACAATAACGGCACGAAGTTATTCCGATTTTGTGCAAACAACGGATTGTCCAAAATGAATACCGTCTTCGAGAATCGGTACACCTGGTACCGGGAAGCTTGTGCACAGAAGTCGATGATCGATTTGATAATCGTATCGTCTGACTTAAGACGCTCAGTAACGGATGTTCGCGTTAAGAGAGACGATCACCACTTTGTTGTTGGCAGGCTGCGCTGTAAGAAATGGAGTACCATGCGAAGATCTGTTGGCAGAAGCAACGAGAGAATCAAATGGGAAACATTATCTTCCATGGACACGAGAGCAAAATATGCAAACAACATCGCACGACGGTTTGAACAGATTCCGACGACGATAGTCGATGTGGAAACCGAGTGGCAGCACTTTATACGAGGCGTATTACCGGCTACCGCCAATGATGCAGATCGAAATGGGTTGGTGTGTGGTTAGTCACTGAGAGAAAGGCTCCCCTCAAGAAATGGTTTGGCAGCAAAGAGCCTTTATTTCGAATGCGATATATGGAAACACATAAAGCGGCAGCAAAAGCAGTTGTGAAAGCCAAAGTCGATTCCTGGGAGAAATTATGTGTGGTGTTGGAGTCCAATTTCTAGTCGGCAAACGAGGCACTCTGGCAAACTCTCCGCCGGCTGTGAGATGAAACGAAGGGCAGTCTAAGAATCTTGAAGGACAGGTCAGGGCACTCTCTTACAGAGGATAAGGATGATCCTTTAGCGATGGAGAGAGTACTTTCAGGAACTCCTTAACCCTGAGCGACCGCAGGAAGACTCGCCAGTACAACAGCAGGGAACGGATATTGTTATTTCTGTAGATGAAATTACGCACGCTGTGAAAAGTTCGAAAAGTGGAAAGGCAGCTGGAGGAAATTTGCCCTCTAATGCTCAAAGCAATAGGCAAATAAGGTGTATTTGCTTACACAAGTGCATCAAACTGCAATGGTTATGGGGAAGATACCTGCGGACTG